AGGCCCAGGGCTGTAACATCATGTTGTTGTAATGATTTGTCTTTAAGTTTACTTAAGCTTCCCTTGTATACTTTGTTTCTTGTTTCTCTGTCATGTTTACTTTCTGTTTTAAGTTGACAGTCTTTGTCCTTTGTGCCTTGTTTTTATTTTACTTTCTCAAATCTCATTATCTGATCTTGTTCAGCTGTGTGTAATTCTCAATGTCACGGTCCTGGGTGTGACCCAGTGTTTTGTGTTTAATTAATATTTCTTCATTATTTGTTATTTATGGTTTTAGTTGTTTTGATGTAATATTTTGTTGCTCTAGCTCTGTGCTTTTTTCCAGTCCCACGGTTCATGCCTCTTTCTCAGTGTTGAGTCCGCTTCTCTGTTTTATACTTCCTCTTTTATTTTGACAGTCTGTTTTTAGTCATTGGAGTCTGCTTTGATTTTTATTTTTTTTTGTCTTATTAAGTCTGATTACTCCCAGCTGTTTTCTCCTCCTGTGTCTCATTCCCTTGTTATCCCACTGTTTATATAAGCCCTGGGTTTTCCCTTATTCTTTGTGTTGTACCCTCATTATGCTAAGTTGACAGATTCTGGTTTGTTTTCTTGTTGAAATTTCTTGTTTCCTGTTTCTAGTTTAGTTCTACATTTGATGTTCGTTTTTTCCAGCAATAAAAGCTGCCGTTTTGATTTTAATCCTCTGTCTTAAGTCCTGCTCCTTCGTCCTGCCTGCCACACAGCCTGACACTTTAGGTATTGTCAGTCTTTCCTTATTGCCTACTGTGTGTATATAAATTAATTGTCTCCCCTTTCTCCTTAGTCAGATCATCTGTGTCTTTGGCCTGAGTTTCAACCCTGTGTACTGTTCTCCTTATTCTGTAGTTCGCTTATTTTGCCTATTCCAGTGTGCTTCTGGAGCTCAGGAAGATTTTGGAATCTTTTCTGAGTTTTCTTTGTGGATTTTTATGGACTTCACCTAAATAAAGACTGGTTTGTTTAATAGGTTATACACCTTGGGACAAAAGCGGTTTTTGATACGGGCGACACGGGCGGTTGCCCGGGGCGGCATCGTGGGCATCGGCAATAAAAAAAAAATTGCTCGTACTCATGCTGTCCCGACGTCATGCCAGCGCATACTAGGGATGGCACAGGCACCGATCAGTTTTCTATCGCCCATTTGCAGGGAGTAAGGGCGCCC